GAAGCTCGTCTATGTCTACCTGGTGCGCTATGCCGAGGAGCAACAGGACCTGGCCCTGCTATCCATTTCCACATTCCAGCGTGCCCTCAAAGACCCCAATCAGCTGATCCGAGCCTCGGCCCTGCGGGTGCTGTCCTCGATTCGGGTGAGCATGATAGTGCCGATTGTGATGTTGGCCATACGTGACAGCGCCGCCGATCTGAGTCCGTATGTCCGCAAAACCGCGGCCCATGCCATACCCAAACTGTACTCCCTGGACGCCGATCAAAAAGACGAACTGGTCATGGTGATCGAGAAGCTGCTCTCGGACCGCACCACACTGGTGGTGGGGTCAGCGGTGATGGCCTTCGACGAGGTAAGCCGCTTCCTAATTCCAGTTCATGGCAGTCTGATGACTTTCCCATCGCCGTGTGATTTCAGGTCTGCCCGGAACGCGTAGATCTCATCCATAAGAACTATCGCAAGCTGTGCAATCTGCTGGTGGACGTGGACGAGTGGGGTCAGGTGATAATCATCAATATGCTGACCCGCTATGCCCGCACACAGTTCGTCGATCCGAATGCCGATGAGGAGCTGCTCGAAGGCGCCAGCGAGGCGCCGCACAATGAGAGATTCTACGACGAGTCATCGAACAACTCCAACTCCTCCAACAGCGACGACGGCTCCAGCGATGACGAGAAGACGAAATCGCGGCCTGCAAACAGCAGCAGCAACAACGGCGGAACTCCCAGCTCCCCCAGCAGCAGCTACCACATCGATGTGGACCACCGCCTGCTGCTGCGCCAGACCAAGCCGTTGCTGCAGTCGCGCAACGCCTCTGTGGTGATGGCTGTGGCCCAGCTCTACCATCATGTGGCGCCCCGCAACGAGGTGCAATTGATTGCCAAGGCGCTCATTCGTCTGCTGCGCTCCCACAAGGAGGTGCAGAGCGTGGTGCTTAACTGCATCGCCTCAATGTCCACCAAACGCAAGGCCATATTTGAGCCACACTTGAAGTCGTTCTTTGTGCGCACCAGCGATCCCACGCACCTCAAGCTCCTCAAGCTGGACATACTCACCAACCTGGCGTCGGCCTCCAGCATCTCCCTGATCCTGCGCGAGTTTCAGACCTACATATCCAGCAGCGACCGCTCCTTTGTAGCGGCCACCATACAGGCCATCGGCCGCTGTGCGGCCAGCATTAAGGAGGTAACCGAGACCTGTCTCAGCGGCCTGGTGCATCTGCTATCTAATCACGATGGTGAGTAGCGGCCACGTACAGTAGACCACAGAGCTAGATCCCTAATCCCTTATCCCATCCATTCTGTTTACAGAGCATGTGGTGGCCGAGAGCGTTGTGGTAATCAAGCGTCTGCTGCAGACAAAGGCCGCCGAGCACTTTGAGATAATTACACAAATGGCCAGGCTGATTGATTACATCAATGTGGCGGCCGCACGGGCCGCCATCATTTGGCTGATTGGCGAATACAACGAAAAGGTGCCGCTGATTGCACCTGATGTGCTGCGCAAGATGGCCAAGTCCTTTGTGGACGAGCAGGATGTGGTGAAGCTGCAGGTGTTGAATCTGGGCGTAAAGCTTTATCTGACCAATCCCCAGCAGACCTCGCTGCTGTGCCAGTACGTCTTTACGCTGGCCCGCTACGACACCAACTACGATGTGCGGGATCGAGCCCGTTTCTTGCGCCAGTTCACCTTCCCGGCCAGCGGGGTCAGCAGCGTCCTCACGCAGAGCGCCCGCCAGGTATTTCTGGCCAGCAAGCCGGCCCCCGTGCCGGATAGCAAGTACCGTGACACCAACAACTTCCAGCTGGGATCGCTCTCGCACTATCTGAATATGCCGGCCACGGGCTACAAGGAATTGCCTACATTCCCTGCCCTGGCACCCGACTCGAGTGTTCGCAACATTCCTGGCTTTGTGCAGGAGAAGCTTCCCAACGAAAGTTCCTCACTTTCGCACTCAAAGTCCGCCTCGGGTGGCAGTTCGCAGGGTGGCAGCAAAGGGCAGCGCGAGAAGGGCTTCCTATCCGAGTCTGAAGACAAGTCCTCGGCATATTCCGAGTCCAGTAGCGGCAGCGGCAGTGCCACCAGTGACAGTGCCTCCAACTCTGATGACAGCGAAAGCAGCGACGACGAACAGCAGGAAAAGCAGAAAGCGAAGCCAAAAGTGGTCAACAGTGAGCCGAAAAAGACGACCTCCAGAGCTGTGGACAAGGAGTCAATAACGCTGATCGATGCGGGCGGCATTGAAGTGGATCCCACCACCACGACCAGCAACAGCAACATCAACAACAATATGAATATTAACAATACCAATGCAGCTGGCGATTCGGGAACCTCAGACAGCGGGGAGTCCTCTTCGTATAGCGGCGGTAGCAGCGGCAGTGACACGGCCAGCGAAAATGAACAGGACAAGCCCAAAAAGGAGGATAAACAGCAGCAGAAGGAGAAGCAGCAGCCATCGAAGGTAACTCCAGAGATTCCAGAGACATCTACCAAGCAGACAAAAAGCAATCTAGACTTGCTACTCGATTTGGATGACATTCCGCCCATTGGTCCCGTGATGACGCCCTCGTTAGGTGGCTTCTTGACGCCAGGTAATCCAAATCAAAGCATAAAACATGATGTTCAACTTTGATCCTAATTGAATCTCCTTTGCCTGCATAGGTACGCCCCTGATGGGCGGCCAGGCTGCCCCTTTGCAGCCGCAGCATGCTCGCAATCGGATCGAGTTGGTCGGACCCTCGCACATTGAGTTCAAGCACAAGGAGCTCCTGAACAAAGTGAGCGGCCATGGCCTGCAGTTGGCCTACCGCTTCACGCGTGCCCCCCACCTGTACTCCTCGACCATGTGCTCAGTTGAGCTTCAGTTCCAGAATCGTGGCGAGAAGGAGATCGCCAGCATCCGGCTGGGCCAGCAGACGCTGCCCGCGGGCATGCAGCTAAACGAATTTAATCCCGTGACGATGCTGCAGCCTCAGCAAATGGCCAGTGGCATACTGGGCGTGGACTTCAATGACTCCACGCATGCCATTGACTTGGAGCTACTGTCCAGCGCTGGCAGCTCGCGGGTGCAGCTGAAGCCGCCGGTTGGAGAGCTGGTCAGGGCCGTCCAGATTGGGGAAAGCTGCCATCGCGAGGAGCGTGCCAAGCTGCGGGGCATGAACGAGCATCAGTGCGAGCTGCGCGGCATCCAGCGGGAGATGATAGATGTCGCAGCGCTCAAGCAGAAGGTCTTCGAATGCATCAATGTGGCCCACACGCACAGCTCGCCCACCGCCCAATTGCACTGCTTTGCGGGGCAGACGCTCAGCTCGAAGAGCCTCGTGCTCCTTACCCTTCACTGGCAGACGGACGAGGCCCTAACGCTGTTGGTCAACTGCGAGAAGATGGTCATCGGCTCCATGGTACTCAACGAGCTGCGAAAAGCTCTACAGCTAAGCTTTGCCATGTGAGCAGCAGCGTCCAGCACGAGAATGAGCGAGATGGCGATGCATGCCGAGCGCTGCGACAATCTGGGCAATCGAGAACAAATGATGAAAGCCTCCCACAACGTAAACCTAAGCATTCAACTAGCTACACATATAAAAAACAAATGTCATGATGATGATGAAGATTCTATTGCTTTGACTATTCCTATATACAACAAACAAACAAACAACAAGCACTTGCGACAACAGCAAATTGCAGTGGACTCCTTGCTGATGCCAGATGCTAGATGCCAGATGCCTACTCCTACTAATCCACTTTTCCCCTAGATATATATGCGATGTGCGAGTGTGTGTCCTGTTTAGCCTGAATGTATGTATTTATGTCGCTTGTGTCCTTCACTATATATATATATATATTTGTACTATATACACGTGTATGTCCATCCGTACATGGGATACACTTTTACTTGGATCGTACTCTCTGGTACTCGTACTCGTACTCGTAACTCGTGTTTGATGTTGTAAATCTGTTGCCTTCGTGCTCTATGCGGCCTTCTTCAAAACGTAGCAAAGACAAACGAATATCGAATCTATATACATATATACATATATTATTCATACTATTATTTAATGAAATTAAATGAAAAACATAAAGAAAGAGTAATAATAAATATACCAAATGTTAACGCATTCATCTGCCTGAAAAACAAAACAAATAAGTGCAACCAAATGCCATGGTCTTGAGGGTGTCAATTTTATAACTTTAAAACATGCAGGCGAACATACAAATGTATGTACATGTGTATTTATGTTTGAAATCTGACATTTATTTAAATTTTTATACCCGGTACTCGAGGAGTAAATAGGGTATATTGTTTTTGTGGGAATAACGGTTGTATGTAACGCACAGAAGGAAACGTTTCCAACCCCATAAAGTATATATATTATTGATCAGCATCAATAGCCGAGTCGATTGAGCCATGTCTGTCTGTCCGTCTTGTTTGTCGGCTAGTTCTCAGAGACTATAAGAGCTAGAGACACCAAATTTTGGCTCCAGACTGCTGTATGCTCACACTGAAACCATTGTATTTCAAAAATTAGATAAAAGAAAACTAAAAACGCCATTCCGTAGGGAATGAATGACCATATCTATCAGATCACCAAATTTGGATCCGATTGAATCATTATTATGGCCACAATGAAGAAATTAATTTGCAGTGGCTAAACTCACCCCGTCCCGCAGATTATATTTGTTTTTTGCACATTCTCTCCTTCACACTCTGCTTCGCGCAGACACGTCTCTGCCTCTGCCGCGTCTCTGCCCTGACTCTGCAGTGTGTGGCTCTAGGGGAGGGTGGCGAGCTAAAGGAGCGTGTTGGTGTGATTAGTGTTGTAGATGTAGATGACAGATGAAGAAAAATTGTAAAATTTGACAAATAACCGCTAAGGTGCAGATGTAGTACTGAGTGCCGGGTATAAAAGTTTTGACGCGTAAGAAACGTCTCACATGTTACTTCTCGTTTTTTGTATTTTTTCTTAAATCTTAAGTTGTATTAAACTTTAATTTATTATACTTTTAGGGTAAAAATGAACTGAGCGGTGGAGCATCTCTCACCAGCTACAAAATTAACCTAACAAAATCCAGGTTTCATATTGGAGCTTCTATGAACATCAAAGATGAACGGCTGATGGCCAAGATTATTTGCGCTTGTGGGTGGCCTTCTTGTCTGCAGCCTGGGGCGTTGATGTGGCCTGGGCCACCAGCTTACTAGTCGAAAAGCTATCTGGCAGTTTGATTTTTATTAGAGCAGCGCCCTTTCCCTTCTTAGTCTGAGGCGTTTCGAGGGGGTCTTCAGCTTTATTATCTTCATCATCTTCATTTTCTTCCTCTTCATCTTCTTCATCATCATCATCTTCATCTTTTTCATCTTCGTCATTATCTTCATCATCATCATACATCACCTCAGTAATCATTCTCTTATTGCGCGTTCTGGATGGTCCGGCCATCTCTAAAGCGCCTAGAAATGCAGGGGGTTTTTCGGCCTTTTCCATTGCGGCTAGAACTGCAGCGCCAGCGGCTGCTTTGTTCGATGTGCTAGTCACTGCAACGGCGTAGGCAGATCCATCGCTCTTCTTCATCTTCTTTCTAGGCTGCAGTTGGAGCGTAAAGGAGATAGTATATACATATGTAGAAGAACTTAGGGGAGAGGATTGATTTTGCTTACTTGATTTGTTTTGCGCTCTGAAGCCTTCGCAGGCTTTCCCCTTCCTGTTGCAGGTGGCTTTGCGCGCCGCTTTGCAGCATCCCTCGGTTTTGGGTCCTCGTCCTCGGAAGAGACTTCAGAGACTTCCTCTTCAGCGGCCTTGGCTCTTTTATTACTCTTGTCTTCTTTCTTGCCCTTTGATTTTTGCTCCTGTTCCTTGGCCATTTTACCCTTCATTTTTTCCTCAGCTTTTCGTTCATTAATTGTGGCTTGCGAAAGCTTGAATGAACGTTTATGCTGCGTCACCTGACCGTCGGTCACGCCCTGCTTTAGCATCCTGTAGACCAGCGTATTGAAGCGCCGCTCGTTTGCCACCTTATGGTCATTGCTCCTGAGGTACTTCACAATGGCAATAACCGAAGATCCGCGTTTATTTTTCAGTTCTTCGATTGCATCCATTGCCATCTCGATGACAGTGCGCCGGCGCTTGCCCCGTTTTGGCTTTGACGCTGGGACCATATTTTCGCCATCTGATGGTGGAGTGGGATATATATGCGAAGATCGAGCCTCCCCATTATCATCGGTTTCATATATAGAATCCTCCTCCTTCTCCGAGTGATAGCTCTCTGCCGGAGCTTTTGTCCCTCCTACGGCGCCCTCTTCATCGTCGGTTTGCACTGGGTTTTCTTCATCAGTTGTTGACCCCTCCTCGGACTGGGTCTTATTTTGTTCGGGAACTTCGTTGTCACTTTCTTCTGTAGCGCTACTCATCTTGATTCTAATTTTGTTTAACAATTACAATAAATTCACAGACAACCAAACAAGGCGAACATTGAACAATCATTAAACTAATGGCGCATTTATGCCAGTGATCTACAGTAAAAATGCAAGACCAAAGAAGAATACGGACAGAAAGGGAGAGACAAACAGGGAAAAAACGGTACCTAGTCACAAAATGTGAACATTCCAAGCGAGAGCAGAGCTCATTGCTTTTAGTGGGACAGTAAGTAACATTTTGCTTTCGCACTCACTCACATACTTACTTACCCGTTGTTGCCTCCCTGAACTTGGAAGCGAGCTTTGATCTCTGATTCCACACAAGTGGAGCTTAAAACTGACAGTCCACTTATGACTATGTTTTGGACCTCAAATACATAAATATGTACACATTCTTAGATCATTGATACTTGCCACTTAAAGTTCGTAAAGGATTTTGTTGGTCAAAGAATACGAAATTGGTTTTAGTTTTCAATTATTTGTATGTTTATTCACGGCTTGTTCTTTGTTTGTTACTTTCTCCACTCATCACCAAACATAATCGAATATAATGTAATATAAGAAGGCAGCAGGGCGTTGCGTTGCATGTAGTTGCTGCTGTTCGTTTGAACGAAATTCAATAGTCCGTATGTGCATACACAGTAGATCATGGACCATACATGGATCGTGGGTTGGTAGTACATAAATAACACATTTCTCAAATCCTAAGCTGCTTTCTCTGCCTGTGTCAGTGTGTGTGGGGGTCCAGATGTTCGAATACCCGGATTTCTGCGTTGTCTGTGCCTGCGTTTAGTGTCTTAAGTTGTGGGGCGGGGGGTACACTGCACAATTCAAAAGCTCAATTTCATGCTTATTATATAAACGATTTTGGTTTTGATCGCTAGGTTAGTTTTGTTTGAGTTTTGGTTTTTTTTTAGTTTTGGATTTGCTACTGCACTCAAAAAAATCCCATTGATTCAAGTAGTTTGAGTAGTTATTAGTAGTTGTAGTTGAGTTTGAAGTGTTACGAGTAGAGGTTAGGCTAGTTTAGATTCGGTTAGGCTAGGCTTCTTCTTATTTTGTTTTGCTTTATTGCATCCAAGTTAAAAGTTTAAAGGTGCTTTTCGACGATGCATCGGTATCACGGCAGCGTGTGCAAGTGCGAAAATCTCATTTCACGCATACAATCTCAATGAAAGCTCTACGTGCATCCGATGCAATTGACTAAAACCACCCTAACGAGCGAACGGCTCAAAGTTGAAAGCTCGAAACAATGAGTGCTCTTTTTGATCGGATTTATCTTTCACTCAGTGTAGCGCAAGTTTGATGTGGAAAAAAGTGTGCATTTATGCATACATATGTGAAGACAATGCGTGATAGTTTGGTGAGCTATGTATATGAGTAGAGTAGGGATAGTATGGAGATATTTGTTGCTTACTTATGGTTATGTATGTTATCATGTATATGTATGTGTGTATGTATATGTTATGTTTGTTGGTATGTCGCATGTATTGCATTGTATTCCGGGGAGCGTTTTGTATATGTATACTATATAGTGTGGTATTATCGTTACCTCCTCGTATGAATTCATACTCGTACATATGTATGTATGTATGTATGTATATTTATCATATGCCGTATATAAAACTAGTTTCTTTTTCATTTTCATTTTTGCATATTTTTGTGTTTCTTTTGTTTACTCTTTTATATGTAAATGTAAATGTATAAGTATGTATGCATATGCCGTGTATGTATATATCAATTTAGGTGTGTATGTCTAAGGATGATTTTCAATCACTTATTGTTACGTACGGTGTTTGGTATAACATGCTTCTTGCTTGGACTAGTCGAACGAAAGGGCCTGGACCGGCTCGCAACTTCAGTTCAGGCCCTCGTTTGTTCGTTTCTTTGTTTGCTCGCTCATTTCTACCGGGTTTCGTATTCATCTTCTGTTCTTCTCTTCGTCTTTCTATTGTTTTTTCCTTTTACGGTTTTACTGTTAAAATAACATATCAGAAGCTTGCATGGGTATACTAGGGGAGTGGTGGTCTGGGGACCTGGGGGTGTCTGGTGTTTCTTTTTTGTCTTTCAACGTGTAGAGAAACGACATTTGTTGCAGCGATTTGCAAGCGAAGCTTTACGGGGCTGGTGGTGGGTAGAGGCGGGGGCCTAAAGCGGACGGACTGGTACCGTTATTTCGGTTGACCGTTCGATGACTGCTGCTGGTGCATTACATATGTACATACATGTATGTACATATGTAATGCACCAGCAGCAGTCATACATACATGTATGTACATATGTACTAATATGTACATATGTGGTTTGTACCTCTGTTTGTACATATGTATGTACAAATGTATTTATGTATGTACATTTTATTTCGTTCATTTATCGCTATGCATAAGTATTCGACTGAGGTGCGGCTGCATTCCCGCCCAGAATCGGATAATCGAGAGATCAGTTTTGGGTTGCTTGCTTGGTTGGGTGAATGGAATGCGATGTGTGTGTGTGTGTGTGCGCCTGAGTGGGTCACAGTCTACTCCGCTGACATTAACTCCGTACGCCTTTCTTCCTTCCTGCATGTTCACTACTCTCCTGTGCCGGATTCTGTTTGTGTTTCGATTTTTTTTTGATTACGCCATTAATATTTAGTTATACATACATATATACACATGTATGGATATGCAGTATATACATATACATATGTACATATGCATATATGTATATCTGTATATTATATACCTGTGTTCGTTTGTGTCTGTGTGTGTCTGTATGGCCCGACAGCTAAAGCATTTTATGTGTGTGTTTTTATCGACTCTGCTTAGTGGATTTAACTGCAGCTTCGTCTAAGGCCGGCGGCAGGCAATGTTCTCCCCGTGCTTAGAGTTTCTTATACCAATATAGATAGTGTTCACCGTCTTCGACCATTAGCTCATCAACACCTGAAAAGAAAGCAAAAGAGCAATAGAACAAGAAAAAGGGAAAGGGAAATGGAACATTATTGAAGGCTCCATCCACACACTTACCAACAGGCGCAATAAGCTGATTCCCAGGCGTATTATTGGGATCCGGTAGCTCGGGCAATCGGTATAGCAGCCAGTAGTGGTACCTAGTCGGGATTGGATTGGATTGGATGTTCTCTCTCTAGCTTCTCTATCCATACTCACCCTCGCGGTTCCTCCTTCTTGCCATACAGTGTGTGCACATAGTGGCCATTGGGCCATTCGCGCGCCTCGAAGATGAATCTGTCGGGAGAGAGACAGAGCATACGAGCTTAAGAGCACATTCATTACTGATATTTCAGTTCAACACTCACCTGGGATCCATTTCGGCCGCCTGGGTCATGGCCTTGAAGAAGCTTGTGTTCTTCGGGGAGACCAGGGACAGGGAGAAGGCCTCGCTCACATTCGAGCCCACCCAGAGCGTGTAGGTGTACGAGATGTTCTTCGCGTCTGACTCCTCGGCCGAAGAGCTCAGGCCAAATGGCACCGCCAGCTTCGGCTCACCGTTCTCTGTGCGGCGAAAGTAGGGAAAGAGGGAGAGGAACGGAGAATGGGAGTGGGAGAAGCTTTAGGAGGAGGAGACTACAAATTGGTGAGGATCGCTTACCCGTTGGATCGCTGCTCTCCCGTATCACATGATCGCACTGGAGGGCGCGCACAGCGCCGAGTCCTTTCCAGCCCAGGGCCAGGATAATGTCTGCGGTTAGTCCAACACCGATGTCAGGTTCCTGCCCATCCTGCAGCGGCTCCTCGCTCCAGCCACCGTCAGCCCGCTGTCGGCTGAGGATGTAGCGCGAGGCGGCCGTGCGGTTCCAGTGCCCGGCCGGATCGTACTCCAGATCCTGCAGCGCCTGCATGGCCAAAGCCGTGCTGCGCAGCGATCCGAAGCTGCCGCGCTGGTCCTGCAGGCTGGCCAGGCCGCGGGCGGGCCGGCGTACAAAGTGCTGCAGATGGCGATGTCGGTGATCGGTGACGATGCACCGCAGCGCCAGTATGACCATGGCAATGGCATCAACGCTCTGGTCCGTCACACCGCTAGCGATGTCCAGGAGGCGACGTATCTGCCGCTTCCGCACATGCGCCGCCGAGCTGCAGGCGGACAGGGTCGTCAAGGCGAACTCGATGTCCTGGGCCGGCTCATGGTGCTGCAGCGTTGCCACCAGATCATGGCCGTGGAAATGCTTGGGGTCCTTACAGAGGGAGCCCAGTGCCAGCACATAGCGCGCCAGCTTGTCCAGATTGAGGGGCTTGGGCAGCGTGTGGTGGCGGTCGAGCATCGCCAGTATCTCGATTTCCATTTCCTTCACAGACAACGTGTCCTCCAGCTCCTGGATCACCTGCATGTGTCCATCGGCACTCTCGTTGGGGTCCCGGCCGCCAGACAGCTCCTTAGCCAGGATCACCACATGGGTGTCGTTGTCCCATCCGTAGTCCGAGGCTCGCTTCTCCTTCAGCCAGTCGAGGGCTCGCAGTATGGCCTCCTGTTCGCCCTTGTTGGGGCTCGCCGAGCCGATGATCTCGTGCTGGTGCGGATCAGCGCCTGTGCCATTGGAGCCAGGCCCAGCCGTGGGAGGGGCCATGCCTTGGCCCAGGGGTGTCGCGTCCTGTTGATCCTGATGGGCGCTAGCCGTTGTGGCTGTAGGGACGCTCTGGCTGGTATTTGCGTGCTGGTTGCTGTTGTTCTCGTTTTTGTTGTTGTTGTTGCTGTTCTGCTCATCACTGGCATCGTTGTTGCTGTTGGTGTTGCTGCTGCTCACCGTCAGATTGTCAAAGTCCGTGGCTATCACGGCGGACGCCGTACTAGAGCTGGCCGCGTTAGCTGCAGCAGCCGCAGTTGCGGTGGAGGCAGTGACCACGCCACCGTCAGAGACAGCGGCCGTGCCAGGGCCAGGGGCAGGGGCAGGAGTCGCTGCCAAAGTCACATTCTCCGTCAGCATTGACAGCGGCAGGCAGCCGACAAAAAAAAACAAGAGGAGCCAGAGCAGCAGCAGCGGAGGCGACGACATCCTGGTTGTGGAGGGTCTGCAAACGAAACGAATAGAGGGAGTAGTTCCACTTGTTATTCCTTTGCTGTGCTCTCTCTCTCTCACTCTTGCCAGATGAGGATGCAGCGAGCAGACAGAGGAGGGCGCAGGTGCAGGCGTTGCCTTGAACTCAATTTACAGAGCTTTGTGACTAACGTCATGCAATTTATCGATAATCGCTAACAGCGATCGATATGCAGGACATGGCACAAAGGGCCATCACAATCACAACAGCAGCACCAGTCACTCACTCATTCAGCCACTCAACCACTGCTGCTCCCAGTGCCCCATCCTTCAACCACCATCCATCCACCATCCACCCATCCACTTAGTCATCAAATTAAATAAATGCCAAGACTAGACAAAGTCCTTCATTTCCCTCTTTTTGATGTTGTTGTTGTTGTTGTGGTGTTCGTGTCGCTGTGTGCGTTGGGTGGTTGGGTGTTGAGGGGGTGGTTGAACTGGGCTGGGTAGTGGCTATGCGATAGTGTGTGGGTGCGAAGCAATGCCATTCAATTGCCTCTGACAATATAAAAGTTGAACAAAACAGCAGGCTTACATAATAATACAATAACAACAATCGTGGTTCGGGTCCTGGAGGGGCAGGGCGGAGCGGGGCGAGGGCTTTGCTGCTCCGATTGGCGACTGACGACAGCCGTCTGCTGCTTTCCTTTCGGACCGGACGAAACTCAACGAAATCGCTATCGCAATCGCAATCGCCTCAAGTCCTGCCTGAAGGGAGAGAGAATTATCCTTTGGGTTCCAGCTGCTCGGATGCTGGGGGTAGGCACACTTTCTTGCTGCAGTCCAGTCTCTGTTTTTTGTTGCCCCTGCTGCTGGGGAGGAGTCCCTTTCCTTGCCTGCCTTCCTGTGCGTCTGTGTGCGTGTGTGCTATTCGCCTATAGTATCCTTTTTTATGGTCTTTCTTTGTTCTCGAGTGCCAAGTACACTTTTGGTTTTTAAAATATTTTCTTGTTGGGATGTTTTGGATGGGGGGGTCGCGGGCTGGCCAGCAGCTCTCTCACTCGCGTCGTGTTTAGCACTCGATTTTTATTTGGCGAAGAGGATTTGGGAATTCAATAATTTTCCGAGTGACTGCGGAATAATCGATAAAATATACCGCAAGAGCCTCGAAAATATACCGAAATATACCCTTGCATTTTCAAAATATACTGTAAATATACCGTGAATCTTAAATTATTTTCTCGATTTTGATGTTCTATTTAATATTACTAGCTAGTTATTAGTCTCCGCGCTTAAAATATGGCTTTATCCGATTAATCGATAAATTCTTCACAAGATTGCCTAATTTGTATGACCTTTTTTATGGGATTGCTTACAAAATAACGTTAAAACCATAAAAGGTCAACCAAAAAATTAGCATTAAACGTTACCTGAGTCTGAATGGATGTTGCGTGTTTGACAATTTCGATAGCCCATATTCTTGAATATACCTTAAAACGGAAGTTAAAATACTTTGAAATGAGTTCGTAGTTAAAATATCCCTAAAAGTTTTCAATATACCGTTAATTGTCACCCTGTGTCCATGTGCCGACCAGCTGGTAGCCTTGTCCCGAGAGTGGTGCTGTCAACCTCCTTAAATTTAGTTGGCGCCCAGTTTTAATTTTAAATGAGTAGAGTCATTTAGAGATCTGCGTCTCTCCTTTCAAAGCAAAAGCTAAACAGAATGCATTCGAATTGATTTGAGTTGAGTGTGTGAGAACGATACAAAAAAATGAATTGAGTTTATACGAATGGGATTACAAATTTTCACAGTTCGCAGTGTTCCCTTCGTTTCCCTTGTTCTTCTTTACATTACGCAGAGCTAAAACCACGAAAGGGCTACTGCAGGCACCGTCGCCAAAACTCCTAGGTATTAGCACTAAGCAAACAACTCAAAGAGCCGTCAAACTGACCTTAAACTGTCTGCATAATCAGTTAAGGGGATTGAAGAAAAGAATTTATTTGTTTTCTCTCTTCAAGACGGTTTCGTAGTCTCGTGTGTGTCTCTCTGTTGTTGATTTAGATGACAGATGAAGAAAATATGTAAAATTTGACAAAAAAAACCGCTAAGGAACAGATGTGGTACTGAGTGCCGGGTATACAAGTTCTGACGCGTAAGAAGCGTCTCACACGTCCCTTCTCGTTAAAGTTCGGTTATTGACTACATATAATTTCATACATTGCAGATTTTGTCAAGGGGCCTTCCTTAAAAAACACAGATGGCGCCACCTACAATTACATAGTACATGGACTACGCCGACACGTGGCGCAGACCAGCTTGCAGTGGCTCATGAAGGATCTTCCTTTTTTCGCCCACAGTCGGCCTTTTTGTGAGTTTCGACAAAGACGGGGATGTTATTCCATTAAAAATTTTAGTCAGGGTGACCATTTACGATATATTTTTGATGTTTTGACTACGTAATTGAGTTCATTGTATATATATACCGTAAATACATCCAAAAAATGTACATACAAATACATCGTAAAATAACTACATGCAAATACATAATCGGTAAATACTGGTATATTTAATCAATTTCATCCGTCCATTAAGGTATATTCAATAATATAGGGTATCAAAACTCCCTTACGCATGTTTTTACAGTGTCCCTCGAGGAAATGGGAACTCTCATCGCAGCAGTGTGTCCGTATTCCATCACCACTTACATACGTTTAATTCCATCCCCACTCACGTTGTTTACTTATTAATAAAAAAGCTGCTGGACGGTGTGGGGGTAGGCTCTGCCAATTAATTTCTTAATTCTGGCTATAATAATAAAACAATCTAGTCTCAATTCGGTGATCTGATAGATATGGTTTTAGTTTTCTTGTATCTCCAAAAGTGTGGCTGCAGCAGATTTTCCTTTCTGGGGGCGGTGCGAAATTTGTAAATACACTGGTATCAGCGTAAGAATACAGCAGTCTGGAGGAAAAATTGTATGGCTCTTTTATAGTCTCTGAAACCTAGCCGACAAACAAGACGGACAGACGGACAGACAGACAGACATACAGATATAGACTCGGCTATTGATGCTGATAAAGAATATATATTTTGCAATCAATCCAATAAAGATGAGTCATACAAATCAGCCAATATTGTGGAGAATTGAATGATGATTCGAATAAAATTACAGTTTTAAAGCTGAGAGTCCTGACCAGCTGATAATATCAAACAGAAGAGATAAAAGTCGAGGAAAATGATTTAAGATTAATGGCAATTCCAATACCATTGACAACTTCAACTGGAGTTCACTCCCACTCAGCCGGGGCCGCTTAGTGTCTCTCTCTCTTTCTTTCTTGCTGAGCCCAGGGGATGGATAGCCTGGTATGGGCTTTGTTTCGTCCGTTTTCTGGGCAACATTCAGTGAGCGAGTTTTTTTGTATCGCTCTTTATTTTGTAATTTGATATAGTTCTACGCTGGCCGCAAAAGCCGACAATCAAAATGCTGTCGCCAACCGCCAACTGTCGACGCCAAATGGACGCCGTTCGTTGGCCGACGACTTTGCCGTGGCCCCTGTCCTGATTCCGATTCTGATTCCGTTTCTGATTCAGTCTCAGCCTCAACCTCAGTCGCTGCCTCAGCTTCAGGTTCAGCTGATTGCCTATCGTTTGATCCTTGTGCTGGTCCTGTTCCTGCTGCTTCTGCTGCTCCTGTTATTGTTGTTGTTGCCATCAGACAGCAATTAAAAGAACAAGCATCCATATCGGTTACCTTTGCCGAAATGAAATCAATATAGGGAATCCAATGCGAACAAAGCAAGGAAGTCGGCCGCCTCTGCCCCAGCCCCTGCGCCTGCTGCGGCCACCGTCAAGTCCTGTGAGAGGCCATTGTGCAGTTATGACAGGCGTCCCCCTTTTTGCCGGCATTTTTAGCGCGATTTGTCCTCGCCGTAGCATAATACTGGGGATATACACACACCAACAGATAAATATTCGTATAGAGGAAGTTTTTTGATTGCCGCAAAATAATTATTCGTATACAAATAGAGGTGACTGTTAAAATACAATAAAAATTGGAATGACTTGGGAAAGAGAGAGCAACAAACTTTGGGTCCAAATTTATTTTGCTGACTCAACTAACATTTCCCCTTTGGGGTTTGCTCTAATATCATTTCAGCCCCGACGTCGGCCACTTCAAAGCGTCGCTGGGGAGTAAGCATTGGGGAGGGGGTGGCTGAGCTTTTTCCGATCCGCTTAGCCATCCGTAAATGTCCGTCCGATGCTCTTGCATGAATCCTCTGCCCTGTGTCGACTTTCTAAGCTGAGCGACAGCTGCCGCAACACCTTTTTCTTGTCCCCCACGCACAATTTGAGACGATTGAGCATTGTGTGGAATCAGCTGCGTACAGGAGCGCATGACCCTGCGCGTAATCCCATCCGCAAAAGACAACTCTTTCGGGATCGGAGTCAGAGTCGGGGTAGTGATTCTATCTACGAGTACGAGTAAGTGCAGCTACTTAGCTTCTCGGCTTAGCTACAGCAGCATTTCGATTAGAAAGACGAGGGCGAATCAGATATCGCATCAGGGCTCAGTTCAGTTTAGTTCAGTTCAGATCTGATGGTGGGATTGTAGGACTGTGGGATTGTAGGATTGTGTCGGTGCCAGACAATTGTCCTGGGGGAAATTCTCTGTTTCCGTAGCCGCCGCCGCAAAATCTCAAAGAAGGATGCGGCGCATGTGCACCTTTGAGCGAACGAACTGCCGGTGGGTGCCGGTGGCCCCTGCTCGATTCTTTACCTCTCTACTTTATCGGCCAAAAACATCTTGAAATCTTGAGAGGGAGGGAGCGAGATCGGCTGGCGATCCCTTTTGCTGTGCTGCGTAATATTTGGCAACCCAATTACATTGTTTGCTTAGCCGACAAACTATTTATTCAAGCCCAGAGCAGAAGCGGCAGACAGATCCTCATTCACAGAACACAGAACACAGACACAATAGAGCCATACAGCCTTGAGCTATTATCCTGGCGGATCGCTGGATAACTTCATTTTTTGCGTAATCGAAACAATTGTTTTTTTTTTTCTTCTTTCTAGTTTTTTCAGCGCTGCCGCAGCCGCTGTCGGATGGAGCAATTGTAATTGGGCGAAGCGGAGTGCAGTGCGTTGATTCCATTCCAAATCTAAATCCAAATTCAGACAGACAGAGAGACAGATGAAAGCTGATAAAAAAAAAACAAATATACACAACTGAAAGCGAGGAGAGCTCGGAGCGTTATACAAAAGAGAACAAAAAAAAAACAGAATAGGGAGGAGCAGGGAAGAGCGGGCTGGAGCGAAACAAATCGCAGCAAAACATATCCCTGGGAGTGCACTGAACTGCGAGTAGATCCTGTCGATTATTTCGATGATTTCGCTTGATATTCCATATTCGGGAACATTTGTTCGACAACATTTCGGTTAAATCGTCCGCTGTACATAAGGCGGAAGGGGAAAACATTGATGGGAAGGGGCGGGGCTGGGTGAGTGCAGCCAGAGGAAAGCCAGAAAATAAAAATTCCACGTAGGGGCACCTCATAGCTACAACTAAATAGCAATAGAAATGACGGATTTCGCAGTTCCGCATAATGTACTTTGGAGGGTCTTCACTTGAAAGAGTTTTACATAAAGTATACATAAATATGTTGTATATATCCCTAACTCCCTTTAAAATCAGAAATATACATACATATGCACATACATACATAATATTTACATTTACGCATTAGACACACACAGAGACAAATAACAATTAAATTTTAAATAGAAAATCTTTTAAAATTGTGGCTAAAATTCTAAAATATTCCTTGAATTTGATCATTTTTCGTGAGTTTAATTTACTTTGTTGAAGTGCAAATAATAAATCATAATATTTTTAAATAAATTAGTATTCGTTTTGATAGTTTTGACTTTTTCATGTAGTAAAATTTATTTTTTATTTTAAAATGTTCAAAGTAGACGAAACATTAAAATTAGTAATTTGAGTCACACCTTCAAGCATATCC